TAGGTTAGTTCTTTGGATCTCATTCTTTTATTCGATAATCTAGGGTTTTATATTTTCTCTTATGTTAGGATTTTATCACGATTTAGAAATTAGGAATATATGAATCATTAATTGGAGATTTACGCATTTTCGTTGTGGAACATGAAGGTAATTCTTGTTACTTGGTGTACGCATATTCTTCAAGGGTTCTTGAAGGAATTCTTGTTAGTTTTCTGAACCTTAAAAAATTTAGTATTATGTTTCTGTAGCTATGAAATTGTAATTTAGTTGCATTTTGTTTGCATTACAGAGTTTCTATGGGTGACTTATTATACAGATGCAGTGCAATTTGAATTTCTGAAAAGTGATGTTGAGATGAGGGTAATGATAAGAAGTTTGTTAACTGATTCTTTTGATTTGATTGCATAAGGGAGATATAAATGTTATCTTTGTGGAGTCTATACAAGGTTAAATCTGTTGAAGAAATTGAGATTGTGTTTTGGTTTCCTATGTAGACTCTGCAAGGTTAGATATACCTTTTTGTTGTTTCTTGTTTTGCTACTTAAACTATAAAAGCTCTTGTATTTGAACCCTGTACAACTAATTAGTAACTGCTTTTGTTGGTTCTCTATTCGAATTAAATGAACCTTAGTATGCACAAAAATGGTAATAAGCATTGCTTCGTTTCCTTTCTTTTTTAAATCAAGCTTACCATCCTTTTTGCCTCACGGTCTGTTTTTCAAATTCATAGTTTGTTTGATTAACTAATGAATATTTACTTTTCTTTTAAATAATAACCATTTCTGTTCTTGGCCACACCATAAAATAGTCAAAGAGGTAGAGGAGTCACTGCAAACAAATCATTGTGTAGATAATAAATTGAAGCTCAGGATTTCCTTGATGAAGGTGACTTAAGCTCCAATTCATGATGAGAACAAATGGCTTAGCGATTCATATTTTCTTTTGCTGAATATTGCTTTGAAATTTGTTGAAAGTCTGAGGGCTTCTTCATTATATACAATAGGCGTTAATATTTGTTTTTGTTTTGTTAATATTTTCCTGCTAGCAATTTATTTTCTGTGGAATAACCATGGCATTGTTGGATTTTTTGGTGAAAACGGAAGGGACTTGGAGGAGGAAGAGAGCCAACCGGGAGTTCCCTCTTTGTTGAGGTGAGAACTCTAGTTTTTCGTTCTTCTTTCCATTTGCTGCCTCTTGTGCAGCTTTGACACCACAGCTCCAACAGGCATTATGTGATAGGAAACAAAACTGAAGATATTTCTATAGAATGGTGGGATCATATGTATGACTTTGTCACTGAAGGCTTTCTTGGAGCAGACTCTAGATAGAAATTGCTCAAAACTGGTGAAGTTCAGAAATGGACTGAGAAAACTGTAGTTTTTGAAGATGACCAATCTGTGGAAACTTGTTGAAGTACGTCTTCTTCTCTTTAACTACATTTCAAGCAATCCTTTGGGAAATATACATGAACGTCAATGGGAATAATTTTCCATTAAAATGTCATCAACATTCTGAAAATGAAACTGATAACATAAGTAGATTTTCAGCTGATAAATTTCCATGTGCTTCATTTGGTTGTCAAATCTGTTTGAGAAGGGTGATTTCTTGACCAGAGTTTTTGTTAATATTCTTTAGTAGAAAGAGTAGAATAGAAGAGTTACTCATGATGTGATTTATTCTTCAGTTTCTCTTCAAAGAAAGCCATGCTTGCTTGAGATGACAAGTATGTTTGTGTATGTTTATTTTCTCTTGTACAGTATTAGCTAATTTTGACAATTCTTTATATTCCAATGAAGTTGATTTCCTTTAAACAATGAATGAAACTGAAATTTCTCTCCAGCTTTTTACACAAAATATGGCTTTCAATAAATGATCGCAGGATCCTTTTCTGGATGTATAAAACGATGTTGAATCCATCTAATCTGATCATGTGATCAACCAGCATGTATTGCGTGGTTAGTGTCAATGAGTTGTTGTAGAATTGGTTCTGACTTTTTCGGCCTTTCTAGTGCTTGAAGGAAGTGAAAGTTTTCTGTGGGCAAGTGCATGTAAGTGCATCTTCTACAAGTGGGTGTGAGTATGTTTGGATTTTGATGTTTTAACGGCCTGTGCATGCAGCCGAGGCTGTATTAC